CACACACACACACACACACACACACACACACACACACACACAAGTTGGATTGGATATATTTTCCAATGGCTTGAAAGCGACTCCTCTGCCATCCCCCTCATTCCCCTGCTGCCTTCCCCAAATACCTTCCTGCAAATGCAGCCTGCTGTCTGGGTGGGAAATCCTGGAACGCAATAAAGCCCACCCATTCACCTCCTGCTGGCAGGCTGGGGTAAGAGGAGAGGCAGAGAAGCTGGAGGAGAGCCAATCCGAGCCTTCCAAAAGTAAGAGGCTGGGGGAAAGTGTGTGTACTAAGCATGGCTCTTTGCCTGGCTTCCGGCCTCATCCTGTGGTCTCCTCAGTGCTTGCTTGTGCTCTCCCTCCTCAAGTGTAGTTTGATTGCAGGAGGAGCCACGTTGCTTTTTAAAACTTGTAATCAGTGAAGCTGGGCTGGATTTTTTATATAGTTTTATCCAACTGTGTTTGTGTGTTTGTGTTTGTGTGTTTGTGTGTTAGAAATGGATGGGGAGGAAGTCACTCTATTTGGGGAAGGAGAACATGAGCGAGCACTGAGAAGACCACAGGAGGAGGCAGGAAGCCAGCCAGTGTATGCTGTAGCATACACACTTTCCCCCAGCCCCGGAAGGATCCACTATCCAGCCCAGTTTCACTGATTACAAGTTTGAAAAGGCAACATGGCTCTGCCTGCAATCAAACTACACTTGGGGAGGGAGAGCACAATTGAGCCAGGGTCCTTCCCTCCAGCCTTTGCCCAAAGCCCCGCACAACACCAGGAGTATGAAGTTTGAATTCCTCCCCCTTCCTCCAACCTACATGTACCTTTTCCAGCTGCTTCAGAGAGGACTTCAACTCTGCTCTTGCCTAGGGTCCTCTGAAGAAGCCCCACCCTCACTTCCTTCTCTTTGAGAAGCGCTTTGCAAATGGGCTGCAGGGCAAGAGTGCATACCGGTATGGGGGCATGGCCACGCCTCCATGGAATGGGTACGCAAATGTACGGCAAATTTCTGGAACCGGTACTCCCAAAGAGGTGCTTGCTAACTGGCAAGAACCAACCTCTGATCTGGATATCATTAAAAAAGTGGAAACCATTTTGTTCATCCCTAATATCCAGGGTTCAGAAAGATGCTTCTTTACATTATAGTTCCACCTACTTATCCAAAAGGAGAGACTTTTAGAAACAGATATTGAACAAAGCAGATAATATATTTTGGTAACTGAAATTAACAGAAAGGAAGAATGCCCTCCAAATGTGTTGAGTTATAATTTGCATAATCCACAGCTAAAGTTCAAAGCCACTCTATGGTATACATTATTCTCTAAAGCATTTTGGATCTTTTTTGTATGATGACATTTAGAGAAATCGGTAAGTTAGGTCTATCTTCCAATCTGTACATATGTTCTTTAAAATGGCTGATAAGTATTGTCTCCATCTGCATTGGTGTGCTGTCCTGCAGGTGTTAGCCTGCTGTCCAAAAGAAATGTCTGAAAATATGCAGAATGATCAGATATATGTTTTTTAAGGTCTACTTGAGGATGAGGGTTATTTTTCCAAACAGATGTTTTATTGCCAGATGCCCAAAATAGACTATAAAATCTTGAAAAATGATAGTGCTTTTATGTCTTTTCAGAATTGGCTATGTTTTATGGAGATTTGCCAATTTTATAACTTGATGTGTTGTAGACAGCAATTCTTTTTAAGTCTTTACTGACTATGTTTTTTATACTGTTCTCCAGATATCAATCAATAGAATATTAATTGTAGTTCCAGGAAAGAAATTTGAAACATTACATTTCTTTACATGAGTCAAAGTAAGGGTTGAAAATGTTTAGAAATACA